CATGGGGGGGGGGGGGGGGGGGCAACGTGTGCAACCCACAAAGGCCTTCACGAGAAAGGAAAGCGGCCTCGGAGAAAAAAATTGGTAAGGCAGAAATTTGGCCGTTGATAGTTCTCGAGTTAAAACACTGGTTTGGGCCCGGACTGGAGGAAAAATAAGATGCACCTCATGGAGTACTTCCTGGGATGAAACTTCCTCACTTTGAACCAAGCAAAATAAGCTCTCCAGGTGTTATGGAGGACCTTGAGGGAGGCTGACTACCTAGATATCAGAAGTGTCGGGATGACTGCGTCCAAAAGACTTCTGTCCTTCAAAACCTGGGCTTGTATAGCCAGCCAGTGAGAAGTGCGGTGGAATACTGGTCCTTGGGACAGGAGGTCTCAGCAATCCAGAAGTGTACAGGGACAGTCTGCCAGGAGACTACATCCATGTACCATGGTCTTCTGGGCCTGCTGGGAGCAATCAGAAACACCAAAATGCCCTCCGTCACAATCCTGGGAAGGATGTGAGGCCAGAGGTGGGAAGGTGTAGATCAGGCTGAACTGAGGTCTGCGGATCCCCGGTTCTGGTGACAAATGTGTCCAGTTTGATGCTGAACCTGGATACCAGGAAGCCATCATCAAGTTCAGCACCTTCATGCAAAAATTCAATATTTGGGCAACTCTTGGACCACAAAGTCCAAGTATGAGAGCTGAGAGATAGGATGTTTCCATGTCCAAGACCAGGCCCAGGTACGGGTGATAGGAAGGTGCCAGCATTGACTTCTGGAGTTTCCGGACCCATTGGAAGCTCTGCAGGGTTTGTATCATCCAATGAATGTTGGACAATGAGGCTTTCTCTGACTGCTCCCTGAGGAGAAGGTTGTCCAAGTTCCCTAACTAAGGGGATCCCCTGAGACCAATGCAGAGACCAAAATATGGGCCAGAACCTTGGTGAGGATTCGAGACATAGTGGACGGGTCGCATGGAAGGGAAACAAACTGGTAGTATTGTGCGTCCACAGCAAGACGCAGGTGGCATTGATGGGCAAGGAAAATGGCAATGTGCATTCCCGATGTCCACAGATGCCAGAAGGTCTCCTGGATGACGGGAGATGATGGCAGAGTTTGGTAGATTTCATACCGAAGTTTCGGACTCACAGGAACCCATTGAGGATTTTGAGACCGAGAATAGGACAGACCACCCCTATGCATGGAGGACAGTGAACTAGTTGGTGTAAAACCCATGAAAATGTTCTGCCGCTGGCACAGGGACTATGACCTCCTGAGCTGACATGGGGCCGTGAAAAGATCCTTCTGTTTTGGAGGAGATCTTAGTAGGTTCAACAGCAGGAAGTGAGGGGGAGGCGGAGAGTGGCTCCAACTTTTAACCCTTGGTTACTATGCTCTGGACCCAGACATCGGAAATGTCCTGAACCCAGGAGGCCAAGAAGACCGACAGATGTTTCCTCACTAGTGAAAGTGGGGGGGGACCCCTTCATAATGACGAGGACATGTTCCTGGGTTTAGTGGGCTTGGAGGGCCAGGCCTTATGATGGAACTGAGGGCCTGGCTTGGATTTTAATTCTGAGACTTGGGAGGGACGAAACAAACCTTTCCTGAAGAAGGGAGCAGAGGATTTTGCCGCCGGATGTTTGGACTTCTTCTTCTGAGGTAAGAAGCTGCTCTTGCCCCTCCCCCTTACTTCCTTGATGAAAGTATCCAAGGATTCACTGAACAGGCGTTCCCCAGAGAGGGTGGTGCACCGGGCATTCCCCGGCATGAATTGAAGGTGCTTCTTGCAAGAAAGCTCCTCAGACCAGCATTTTAGCCATAGGATCTGCCGCATATGGACAGACAGGGGAACTATGCTGGAGATCTGTCTGTGGGTGGACTCGGGGTCCCGACAACCATTTTTTAAGGACATCTTCTCAAATTGGGAATTGCTGAGCAAATGACTTAGGAGGAATAAACAATTGTTCAGGGTGATCCCAATCATCATACAACACTGGCTATAAAAGCACATGCACCGGGAAGATTTTGGCAGGTTTGGTGATCTTTGGCAAGGCTGACGCAGTCCGCTCTGACGGTGACATTCATGGACTGTATCCGCATGGGCCGTCTTCTTTACAACTTGGATCTGCTTGTGTCCATGAGCTTGGAAGAAATATCAGAAGACATGTCCTCTTCCTGGGCTGAGTCTATGGAACTGAATGCAGTCCCTACATCCTCATCTTTCTCCAGGAGCAGACAGAGGTGCACTCTGAAGAGGAAGGAGAGGGGCCCATTTGTGGCCCCTATAGTCTTATGACACCACTAGTTCAGACATTTTCCCCAGAATGTCCACCATTACTGCAGTGAACTCCTCGTCCCTGGACAGCAGACTAGAGGAGGGAACCCCCGGAGGGTGCTGAAGAGGACCCTGAGGCTGTGAGTGATGGGCAGGAGGAAGAGAGAATAGACCTTGCTGAAACAGTAGGCAGGAGCGGGGACCCGGGGGAGCAGTAGTTTGCAGACACCTGACGTTCTCGGTAGATATGTAGAGTCACAGCAGCAGTGCGCAACCAACTCAATCCGCACCAGGAGAAGGAAAATGGCGGGCGCGTGCGCAGTAGAGGAGCTCTAGAGATGTGGAGGCACCGTGCAGCTCCACAGGCCACCTATGGAATTTGGAAATAGCGCCAATTTTAAAAATACAGGGACAGAGGCCCCTCCCCCTGCCCCAAGTCGACCCAAACAGGGAGAGGAGTGGCAATCTGGGTACTTTTGGAAGGGACTAGGCCTGACTTACCAATCCTCGGAGCAGCAGCTGACCAAGCAGAGCAGCACGCTCCCTTAAAGTGGATATGCCTCATCACGTCTTCGTCCTCCAGGTGTGTACAGTATACCCCTCAAAGAGGTGTTTTTGGAGAAAGCAGGGCTCAACCAAAATAGACTACACCCAGCTGGGAATGGGAGGGGTTATACAGGGCTGTCCTACAGTTAGAAGTAGGAGGGGTTATTCAGGGTTGCCCTACAGCTGGAAGTGGGAGGGGTTATACAGGGCTGTCCTACAGATGGGAGTGGGAGGAGTTATTCAGGGCTGTCCTACAGCTGGAAGTAAGAGGAGTTATTCAGGGCTGTCCTACAGCTGGAAGTGGGAGGGGTTATACAGGGCTGTCCTACAGCTGGGAGTGGGAGGGGTTATACAGGGTTGCCCTACAGCTGGGAGTGGGAGGGGTGATACAGGGCTGTCCTACAGCATGGAGTGGGAGGGGTGATACAGGGCTGTCCTACAGCATGGAGTGGGAGGGGTTATTCAGGGCTGTCCTACAGCTGGGAGTGGGAGGGGTGATACAGGGCTGTCGTACAGCTGGAAGTGGGAGGGGTGATACAGGGCTGTCCTACAGCATGGAGTGGGAGGGGTTATTCAGGGCTGTCCTACAGCATGGAGTGGGAGGGGTTATTCAGGGCTGTCCTACAGATGGGAGTGGGAGGAGTTATTCAGGGCTGTCCTACAGCATGGAGTGGGAGGGGTTATTCAGGGCTGTCCTACAGATGGGAGTGGGAGCAGTTTTTCAGGGCGGTCCTATAACTGGAAGTGGGCGGGGTTATACAGGGCTATCCTATACCTGAGGGTGGGAGGGGTTATACAGGGCTATCCTATACCTGAGGGTGGGAGGGGTTATACAGGGCTATAGGGTTATACAGGGCTGTCCTACAGCATGGAGTGGGAGGGGTTATTCAGGGCTGTCCTACAGCTGGGAGTGGGAGGGGTGATACAGGGCTGTCGTACAGCTGGAAGTGGGAGGGGTGATACAGGGCTGTCCTACAGCATGGAGTGGGAGGGGTTATTCAGGGCTGTCCTACAGCATGGAGTGGGAGGGGTTATTCAGGGCTGTCCTACAGATGGGAGTGGGAGGAGTTATTCAGGGCTGTCCTACAGCATGGAGTGGGAGGGGTTATTCAGGGCTGTCCTACAGATGGGAGTGGGAGCAGTTTTTCAGGGCGGTCCTATAACTGGAAGTGGGCGGGGTTATACAGGGCTATCCTATACCTGAGGGTGGGAGGGGTTATACAGGGCTATCCTATACCTGAGGGTGGGAGGGGTTATACAGGGCTATCCTATACCTGAGGGTGGGATCAGCCATTCATGGTCACTTCCCTCCTCTAAACCACACAAAAGAGTCCAACAACGGAAGAGACTTTTATTGTAAAATTTTATTTCCAATCTCTATAAATCATTTTCTTTTCAAAATTTGACAAATTACAGAAATGTTCACATTACAGAGACAATAAATCCCCAACACAGGGGGTAAATGATACATTCCCAGTACAGGGGGTATATGATAAATTCCCAGTACAGGGGGTATATGATAAATTCCCAGTACAGGGGGTAAATGATAAATTCCCAGTACAGGGGGTAAATGATAAATTCCCAGTACAGGGGGTAAATGATAAATTCCCAGTACAGGGGGTAAATTATAAATTCCCAGTACATGGGGTAAATGATAAATTCCCAGTACAGGGGGTAAATGATACATTCCCAGTACAGGGGGTAAATGATAAATTCCCAGTACAGGGGGTAAATTATAAATTCCCAGTACAGGGGGTAAATGATACATTCCCAGTACAGGGGGTAAATGATAAATTCCCAGTACAGGGGGTAAATTATAAATTCCCAGTACAGGGGGTAAAGTGCTGCCCGTGATGCTGCTACATTAAATGTTGAGGATTTGTATCATTCTGGCCGGCCGATCATTCCAAGAACCCAACTTTCCTGTCACTACCAGAGGATTCCATCCACCCAATAGTCAATGCCGGATCTACTGGATCCCATATTTTCCCAATCTACTGGATGTCATCCTTACCTTGCCAAATCAATATAGTGGGTTTTGGATCTACCGGATCTTCATCCACCACATAAATCTAGCCAATACTTGGTCTATTGAATCCCATCTCCTGATCTACTGGATCCCATCATTCCCTGATCTACAGGATCCCATCATCCCCTGATCTACTGGATCCCACCATTCCCTGATCTACTGGATCCCATCATTCTCTGATCCACCGGATCCCATCATCCCCTTATCTACTGGATCCCATAATTCCCCTATGGAATGGATCCCATAATTCCCCTATGGAATGGATCCCATAATTCCCCTATGGAATGGATCCCATAATTCCCCTATGGAATGGATCCCATAATTCCCCTATCGACTGGATCCTATCATTCCCTGATCTACTGAATTCCAACATTCCCTTATCTACTGGATCCCATCATTCCCTGATCACTGGATCCCATCATTCCCTTATCTACTGGATCCCATAATTCCCTGATCACTGGATTCCATCATTCCCTGATCTACTGGATCCCATCATTCCCTGATCACTGGATCCCATCATTCCCTGATCTACTGGTTCCCATCATCCCCTTATCTACTTGATCATATCATTCCCTGATCTACTGCATCCCATCATTCCCTGATCTACTAGATCCCATCATTCCCTTATCTACTGGATCCCATAATTCCCTGATCACTGGATTCCATCATTCCCTGATCTACTGGATCCCATCATTCCCTGATCACTGGATCCCATCATTCCCTGATCTACTGGTTCCCATCATCCCCTTATCTACTTGATCATATCATTCCCTGATCTACTGCATCCCATCATTCCCTGATCTACTAGATCCCATCATTCCCTTATCTACTGGATCCCATAATCCCCTTATCTACTGGATCCCATCATTCCCTGATCACTGGATCCCATCATTCCCTTATCTACTGGATCCCATCATTCCCTGATCACTGGATCCCATCATTCCCTTATCTACTGGTTCCCATCATTCCCTGATCACTGGATCCCATCATTCCCTTATCTACTGGATCCCATAATTCCCTGATCACTGGATTCCATCATTCCCTGATCTACTGGATCCCATCATTCCCTGATCACTGGATCCCATCATTCCCTGATCTACTGGTTCCCATCATCCCCTTATCTACTTGATCATATCATTCCCTGATCTACTGCATCCCATCATTCCCTGATCTACTAGATCCCATCATTCCCTTATCTACTGGATCCCATAATTCCCTTATCTACTGGATCCCATCATTCCCTTATCTACTGGATCCCATCATTCCCTGATCACTGGATCCCATCATTCCCTTATCTACTGGTTCCCATCATTCCCTGATCACTGGATCCCATCATTCCCTTATCTAATGGTTCCCATCATCCCCTTATCTACTGGATCCCATAATCCCCTTATCTACTGGACCATATCATTCCCTTATCTACTGGATCCCATCATTCCCTGATCACTGGATCCCATCATTCCCTTATCTACTGGATCCCCTCATTCCCTGATCTACTGGATCTCATCATTCCCTGATCTACTGGATCCCACCATTCCCTGATCTACTGGATCCCATCATTCCCTTATCTAATGGTTCCCATCATCCCCTGATCTACTGAATTCTATCTTCCCATCTTTTGGGTCTCCTCCAATGAGATGATATTCCGGGTTCCTGGATCTGCTGGATCTTGGGATCTCGGGAAACACTGGATCTGATCTCAGAATCTCTGCATTCCTCCTCTCATTGGTTCTCTGAGCTCACACTGAGGGACAGAGATCACACTAGACCCGATCCGGATCCTTCTCCTGCCTGGATCTGTCTGAGTTTTCCAGGTCAGGTGATCAGGAAATATCGGCACTTAGAAGCAAACCAACGTGTCGGCATTTTCCTGAGATGATCCCTCCACACAGAACAGACGGGTCCTCCCACCCAGGAGAGCAGGGGAGCAGGGACCTGGGAGGCGCATTGCCGGGCTGTCATCATCATCCTCATTGACCTGAAACAAGTGAATATCACACATCCAGACATCTGAGACTCACCATGGAGGAAGGATGAAGATGACAGCCTGGAGGCTGTTCCTCCAAACACAGCTCAGAATGGCTCCTCCCACATTCCTACCTGATAGGCTCCAGCAAAGGGCCCTTAGGGTGGTGGGGCCCCATCATGTCCTGGAGGAGGTCACATTTCCTGCATTGTCACATCCGACATGTAGGAACATTTTGGCATTACAACAAAAAAATTAGAAACATTTCCAGCAACAAAACTGAATTCCCCGGAGTGGGGGAGGGGCGTACAAAGGTATGAAAAGATGCTCCGCCCACAGCGCAGCTGCGCAGTCTATATGTCCCGGGCACACGGGGTGATCCATTCACTGTATATACAGACAATACGGAGGAATTAGCAATCCACATTCCCGGGAATAACCAGACACAACGAGGACCTGAAACTGACCGGAACATCTACAGAGAGAAATGACCAAGGAGTCCGCAGACCAGGACAGGGACACAATGCATGTCACACCTGCAGACCAGGACAGGGACACAATGCATGCCCTACCTGCAGACCAGGACAGGGACACAATGCATGTCCTACCTGCAGACCAGGACAGGGACACAATGCGTGCCCCACCTGCAGACCAGGACAGGGACACAATGCGTGCCCCACCTGCAGACCAGGACAGGGACACAATGCGTGTCCTACCTGCAGACCAGGACAGGGACACAATGCGTGTCCTACCTGCAGACCAGGACAGGGACAACTGGAAAGAAAGGTAGATGGCGGACAAAATTGTTACAAAGCAGAACGTGTCCTGTGGAGGGGCCCCCGACCAAATTTAGGGCCCCCCGCTTCTATGCTCCCGCAGGGGCCCCCCGTTTCATAATAGAAATCTTCATTTTGGGGGTTCAGTTCAAACCTTTCATAAAAAAGATCTTCCGTCTTTCCCGTCCGTGGCGGCTGCATTCGTTTTCTTTTTCCAGGCTTTGTTTCATCATTTTCACCCGGTGATCCTGCCAGTGACACACTTCCTGTCCTAGGGTGACAACGCTCACTCACTGTACTGTGTCTATGGAGCAGCAGTGTTATCACCCTAACAATAAGGCTACAGAACACCC